TATATATATATATCAAAAAATTTAGATTCTCTTTACATTAATGAATTATTACATAAAACATAAATTAATCTTATATACATTTAAATTATTTTTCAATTAATCATGTTCAATAAATAACTTATTTTAACTTTTAATGATTATAATTAATTTTATTAATCATGTTCAATGCCAATAAATTATTTTAACTTGTAATTATTATAATTAATTTAATTAATCATGTTCAATAAATAAATTACTTAATAAAATAAAATTAATTATTGTAATTAAGATTTATAATAAAAATTCATAATTAATACATGATGTACATTAAATAATTTAATTATCATAATTAATGTTTTATTTTAACATTTAAAAATTAATCATATTAATGAGTGATTTATTATAAACTCAAAATCTCACAACTTCATTAAAATCTCATAATTTCACCAATGATAATATATAAGTTAGGTAAATATCAAGTCAGATAAGTATTGTATCAGTTCAATAACAAGTCGGATCATTTAGAGGTTGAGTCAATTATAGGTAAGGTTTCATAACAGGTCAGATTGAAAACATGTCGGGTAATATCAGTTATTTACCAGGTTAATCTCGGGTTCGGATTCGGGTTCATATCAATCAGAAGCAAGTCGGGTTCGATTATCATTTTTTTTGTTCAATTCGGGTTCAGGTCGTTCTCAAATCGGGTGCAGGTCGGGTTTAGATACACAATTTTCAGGTTCAACTCAGGTTCAGGTTAACACCAGTTCCGACTCGAGTCGATTTCATATCATCATTGCTCAGGTCAAAAACAATTTTGACTCGAGTAATTTCAAATATATCGGGTCAACTTTTTACATCCTTTCAACTACTTCTCTTCGTTACTACGGTTAAATTTCATCCAACAATGTCGAGGTATTGCATGAAAATTCACTCTTTGAAATGAAGCATTGTAACGGTGGATCGTGTGAGTAATATAAATAAAGGTAAATTATATGTTTAGTATATAAACTATTAGTTTTGATATATTTTAATATCTAAACTTCTAATTTTTTCAAAATCATACCCAAAGTTTAATTTCTATTTCTATTTCATTTTAATATATGTCGTTAAAACTTTAGTTTTTGTACACATCATTAATCTCATCTTAAGCTTGATGGGGACTGTTGATGCATGATTTCTACTAAGCCTTATTTACATTTTGCTTTATAAGTTTGCTTTGGAGATTAGGTGCCCTAGATAAGGAATAGAAATCCTCTGCCTCGACTATGTGCTCCTCTTTATCAAGATATTTGTGCAGATGATTTTATGGTGATGATGGTATTTGTTTCAGAGTAAAACAATTGAGACATGGTTCGTTAGAGCAGAAAGAAACTCCCCACGGAGTTAGTACACTATCAACTAACTGAGTGGGATTTAAATATGATAATAAACAGTAAAATTCATCGGAGAGACATAAGCTAGATCCATTACAAAAAACACCATGGATTGCGCAATACTAGATGTCAAGTTGCACTCAAACTGGAAATTTTGGGTTTGCTTTTGGACTTTGTAAATAGAAGAGATTGTAGAAGATGAAGTAAAATACGAAAGGCAAAAAGGCACCCTAATCCTTTTAGACTTCATCAAAAAATGTAGCTTCGTATTATTTTTTCAACTCAAAAATAAATTCATGTGGTTTTTTGACCAACGTTTTCGTTGTTAACCGTTACAGTGCTGACGTGTAGTCTACTGTAGCTGATGACATGGCATATGGATTAAATTTTATTTTTGTTCGAGGGCCAAATTGATTTTCTAAAAAGTTCAAAGACTTATTTAATTTTAAAAAAATAAATATTTCTAATTATAAATAAAATTATTTAAATCTTCAAAAAATTAAATACAAAAATTATAATTAAAATAAATTATTAAAAATGAATATTCATATAAAAATACTAAAACTGTTATAAAAACTTAAATTTTTTGAATATATATCATAGTTTATAAAATGATAACTTCTAAATTAAAAAAATTAAATTAGTCTAGACTTAATATTTTAGATTAGTGGAAATTTACTATATTCTAATTATTTTTACGTCAAAATTTATATAATTATCTTTTAAATTAGTCGAGACTTACAAAAAATAATTAGAAAACATAAAAGTTTCGATTAATCCAAAAATTTTAAGTCTCGACTAATTTAAATTTTATAATTCTCAATTAATCCATTAAGAATACTTTGTATAAGTGTTGATAATATGTATGTTACATGTATTTGTTATGTATAATATTTTTTTTAAAAAATTATTTTTTTGATAATTTATAATTATCATTTTATAACATATGATATATATATATATATTCAAATTTTTTAATAATAATTTTAGTATTTTTAATAAATATTTAATTTTTAAATAATTTATTTTTTTTAGTATTTTTTATTTTTTTTAATATTTGAATAATTTATATTTATAATTTTATTTTATTTTATTTTTTTAAATAAAGAAGCCCTTGAATTAAAAAAATCAATTTGGCCCATAAAAAAATTTAGCCCACCTGCCATGTCATTTGCCACATCATCAGTCGCAGTGGACAACCACGTCAATATATTGGACTACCACGCCAACATATTGGACTACCACGCTAACATTGTAACAGTAAATGCCAAAAAACGTTAATCAAAATGTCACATTGAGTTTATTTTATAAGTTGAAGGGTCATATTAAGATAAAAAATAACACGATACCACATTAAAAAAATTAAGTGCAGGGACTTGGGGTCCCTTTTTACCGATAGGAAATTAACAATTTTTTGAAATGTACATTAATATGGCCATAAAATGAAAAGGACATATGTCGTAAAACTATTAGTGGACATAAAAATGAGCATATAGTAAGGGCAGAGGATTCTTGTTCCTTAATAAGAGCTAAGAATGGTAACGGGACGGGTTTTGCTCCTCTGTTCCGTCCTCGTCCCCGAAATGAATTCATATCCCTGTCCTTGTCCTGTTCCTGTTGGGTTTTTTATCGGGCTATCCCGTCAAAAACCGAGTAACCGTAGTTTTCATAAAAAATAGAAAAAACAATCACAAAAAAATAAAAAATTAGTCTACATGATTTATAATTTAAACTACAATCACAAATTCAAACAAAATTCTAAATAATTGTCTAAACTCCAAAATAAAACACATACATAATTAAATACAAACTTGTTCCGATATTCAAATCATACAACGAAGATGCATACGTAATATTAAGTCAAATAAAGTCATCCAAAATCATCGTGTCAATTTTGTCACTTTCTTTGGTAGCTCCCTACATTAAGAAATTTATCAATAAATCAATCAAATTTCACTTTAATAATTATAAAAGCTAGGATTTAGGGTTTAAATGTTTAGGGTTTGTATTGTATAATTAATATAAAAATATAAAATATTATATATATATATATATAATTAATATAAAATATATAAATATTATATATATAATTAATATAAAATATAAATATATTTATACATATATATAATCAGGGCGGGATACCTTGCCCCGAACCCGAACCCGAAAATCCCCAATTTACCCCGATACCTGACCCACCCGAACATACTAACAATTCAGCTCTCATCAGACTCCTTTCCTTTCTTCTCCTGAACAACTTACCACCAACCCTTTTCCATCCTCAAGTTTGGAATCATTAATTAAATTGAGTAATTAATAGAATTTTTGCTATAGTTTTTTTAATACTGAGATAATTATAAGATAATATCTATTTATAATTTTTTTAATCATAAACAACGTGTCCCGAACCCTATAGGCATAAATATTTAAATCCAAAATCTCAAGAAAGAATAATATTTCATTTAACCACTGAAGTTATTCCATACTAAATAATATAATTGTTATTACGAGACAATCATCAATCCATAAATAATTTAATTGTCGTTATCAGAAATCATTGTGTGTCATTAATCACACTTAAATATAATATTAAAACATTTATATTTTACTTTTATTTTTTTTAAATTAATCTTTTACAAAATCTACTAAAAATTGATAAAATTCTATCGAGCATTCTAATATATATCAAAGATAATTTAATAAGATTAATTTAAAACAGTGTATTACTTGTCTTTTGAAATAATAGTTGGAACCGTAATCCTATGATGTAAAGGCTTAGCCTTCTTTTCATTGAAAAATATTGGGATTTTAAAAAGAAAATCCTTAAATCAATAAATAATATATTTTATTGTAAATTACGCATTTAGTAGTTAAATAATTAGTTTTAGTTCGTTTTAGTATTTAAATTTTTATTTTTTTTTCAAAACCATATCAAACGTTTAATTTTTATTCCATTTTAATACCCGTTATTAAAAGCTTAACGCGTTTAATACCTAAATTATCAATTTTTTTGTTTGTTTTAGTTCCTAAATTAAAAAAAATTAAAATTTAACGTTAAATTTTAAACGAATTTATTAAAATAAAATAAAAACTAAATTATAGATATGATTTTAAAAAATTTAAAAGTTTAAATACTAAAACGAATAAAAAATGATAGTTTAAATACTAAATAATTTACGTTTGATTATGTGAGTTAAAAAGATTTAAAGTTATGTAAATTGAGAGGATAATAAAAGATAATAAAAGAGTTTATCGATATCTAAAATAATTATAAAAGATAAATAAAAACTATCATTTTTATGATGATAATTAAAAAAAATCTAATTCTAATAAATGAAAATAGAATAAAATAAAAAGTAATAATGTTTTTTCTTCTTCTTTTGTATCAATACTAGAATGTTACATCATCTGAACGAATTAACGTTTTTATGTTATAACTAAAATATCGTATTTAAACTGAGATTTGATATTATAATTAAATTAATCTAAAATCCCAATAATAATTTTGATACCAAGTTTTAAATGGTAAGTTTACCCTTTTCTTATTTCTATTATTGTCACGTCATTGAGGAATCCAACCGTCCACCTTATCCTCATCATCTATTATTACTCATAGGATAATTTATTTAACATATAAGCTTCCCTCCCTCTCACTCAAAGAAAAAGAAAATCAACAAAAACAAAATCGGAGCAGAGCTGAGCAAGCTACTGACCTCAACTCAATTATCTCTACTTCAAATGAAACCCTACAACCGGAAACTCTTCCTCTACTATGACTCTCCTTACCCTACCACCACCAACTCGTTACCGCCGATCCAGCTCCCCGCCACCTTAAACTCCACCTCATCTCCGCCGTCTTCATCCAAAAAGCCACCTCTGTACAACTCTCATTTTGACTTCTCCATGGTTCTCACTGTAGTCGTTCTCCTCACAGCTCTCTTCTTCATGGGATTTTTCTCAATTTATATTCGTCGTTTCTCTGAAGACCCAACAGTTCATCTCTCTCGTAGACGGCGTTACCGTGGTGGCCCACTTAACTCGTTTCCGTTCCCCTCTGATCTTCACCGTGTCTCGGCTTCAATCAAAGGACTTGACCCAATAACCATTCGATCGTTGCCGGTATATTCTTACCGTGGGAATGCCAAGTACCAGATAGATTGCCCCATTTGTCTGAGCGAGTTTGAAGAGAAGCAGCGTCTTAAAACGATACCGCTTTGCAAACATGTTTTCCACGTCGAATGTATTGACACGTGGCTTTCTTCCCACGTCTCCTGTCCCGTATGTAGAGGGACCAGGTTGTTCGAGAGCATGAACGGCGACGGTAGCGGTGAATTGGGTGTAACGCAGGAGAGGATTGATCAGTGTGTCAGTCAGTCATCTTCGGTTGATATCAGTGACACGTGTACGGTGATGGAAACGATACCGATGATGAGGAGAGCGAGCAGCTGTTCAAATTTACATCAACGGCCCATGTTGCGACGAACGTTGAGCTTTTGATGCTTACAAGTTCCGATGCGACTGACAAGCAACATATGTTAATAAAAAAAATTAGTACATAATTAATATGCAATTACACTAGTTTCTAGGTAAATCTAGGGGATTCATTTTTAATTTGTTGTTAAGTTGCTTTCTTTAGCCACATAATACAAGAAGAATAAAGTGGAGAAAGCGACGTGGCATTTAGAGAATCCCATTAAGGAAAGCAAAATCCTTGTACTTATCCACTTCTATTATTCTTGATATTTTTTTATTGTATATGTAACATTCGAATAAGACTAAACCTCCAAAATAAGTAAAATCACAGTCCAACATTCATTGCATCAATTTCAATTAATGATTTTACATCCGAATTCAACAAGATGAAATTGGTGTTTCAACCGTACACTCAATATATGTACTCATCTAATCACGGCCCAAGAAAGGAGAAAATAAAGCAATGACGGTAAGATATCTGGAGTGATACAGTGATTAAAATGAAAACTGATGTAAGTTGACTATGGTTTTTCTACTTTTCTTTAGTTTATTTTTATTAAATACATATATATTTTTGGTTTTAAAGGATTGAGTAGGCACGGATGACCTCGATTACCGGAGTCCGACACATTGGGCATTTTCCTCCAGCATGGACCAGCTCATTGGCACATTTTGAGCATGTGCACATGTGCCCGCATCTGTAACAATATATCATACAGGAATGATGAAAACAAAAAAATTGAAGGCCAACTTATATGGAACTTGAGGATCAGTTTGGAAGATTGACCTGTACAGCAATGAATCAATATTGCCTTCACAACATATACAACAAATTCCTTTCCTCACATTTTCCCATTCAGACGCATCCTTCGGCAAGTTGTCATCGATCATCCCTGTCAGAGAACATCACAGTAATTAACAAGCAAGAACATGAAACAAACCAGCACGAGAAAAATTTCAGCATTTATTACATAACAAGAAACTTATATCTCGTTACTGAGAAAAAACTGCAGTTCAATTTCTTAAATGATAAATGGGGATGATCACAAGTAGAGACACTTTAGGATTATGAATTTTCCCGGAGTAACCCAGAAGGAAACACCACCCAAGTGAGATGCTAAGCAAGGAAAAGGAAAACCTTGTGAACCAGCAGAACGGTTAAGGGCAACAGAAACTTCTTGTCTTATCGACCGCTGTAACTCAAGTTGCATATCCATGCAGGCCTCCAGCATCGCCTGCATATTATTCATCCTTTGCTGCAGCCTAGACATGTCGATCCTCAAATCATTAATGATCTCCCACTCCTGCACCAAATTAGCAACACAATTAAATGAAAATGGAGACCAAAATAATACTAGTCAGAACAGATTTAAGCTCATAAATTATCCCTGCTCCCCCAATTATCAGCGAGATACTGGCATGCAGTTAACTGCTGATAAGGCTCATTAAATAATCCCCACTCCTATTTCTAGTGGGATGCTACTGGCATGTAGTTAACTGCAGATAAAGCACTAAGAACCACAAATGTTACACCATTCAAAGATAGCAGGAAGAATTTTGCACTTTAGCTTTCCAAAAGAAAGAGGCAGTGTAGCGTAGTTTAACTTTCCAGGAGTGTGTATAACTGAATTCACAAATCTGCTAACTTCGAGAAGATATTAGGTTTCATCAGGACTTAATTTGATCATTATCTCTGACATATCAAATTACAGTTTTATATTAAAATTGAAAAACTGTAACATACAAAGGAACAATAGTTTCGGGAAAAACTAAGATATTAGATTAATCAACTTTTCAGAAGAAAATCAAGAACATAATCAAATTGCAAATAAGAAGAAATGACATACAATGCCAAAGCGTTGATGCGCATCATGTGGTGCCCAATTATAATGGCGTGAATCCTGGTCCCAGAGTGATTGCATAGGTGGCATCCTGGGTGAAGGAAGAGCGAGTGGAGTTGTCTCAGCATCCACATGGCTATCATTCTGATCCCAGCTTTGTTGTTCCATATCTTGCTCAAGAGACATAGGAGTAGGAGATGTTCCATTTACCTCCCAGTCAACAGAAGCAGCAGCATGATTTTGCCTTTCCACATATGATTGTACCAAACGGTCAAGACTCTCACGGAAGCCACTACGAAGAAGAGTAGAAACACTTCTCCTACAGCATTAAAAGTAACATGGGTTAGAAAAACACAGAATTAGAAAAATCTAATCACATAAACCCAACAGTTAATAAAATTCATACCTGCTTAACAGTTCCCTCAGTTCCATACTGCGTACGTTATCATCATCAGGAAAATAAAATGTATCTGTTCTTTCGATGTTAGCAGGTTCTAGATTGTAAGAACCCTCCAACCAATCCCGTGTAGTACCGTGCAGGCCTCCATCCTCAAGGTGCATGTCAGAGGCTTCTTCATTACCATCCATGAATTCATTATACTCAACACTAGCTTGCTGCCAGTCAGCTTCCAAAGTCTCCTGGTCCCCCTCCGGCCATTGTTCAACTTGAGAAGCAAACTCTAGCCCGTCAATCCGTGCTACTGGATTCCTTTGCAAATTTTCTTCATCATTCATTAACCCATAGGTCCCGCTTACTCCACCATCTTGGGAAGAATGTTCGTAAGCTGCTGCACCAGCATCTTGTAGATTAGTATTCTCTGCAACTTCATTAGGAAAAGTTTCAAGGGATGACTCGTTAGCAAGATTTCCTTGCCAGCCCACATCCAAGGTTTCTCCACTAGCATCTCTGCTCTCATTGGACACGTCACTCAAATACCACTGCCAGTTTGTAGCAACACTCTCAGAAACTCGTTCCCGCCACTCTTCTACCCGAGAAGAGGTTTCCTGCCAATTTACATTATCAACAATGTCATCCTCTAAATCAGTTCTATCATCCAACAACCTTTGGTTATCTTTTTGCCCGTTCTCATGTTCAGGGTTTTCATTTATTCCATCTGTGGTTTCATGTGAGCTATTTAATTGGCTTTGCTCATTTCTATTAGCATTGGAATCATCATTAGATGATGTATCAGACCGATTATTACTTGCAGGACCAGAACCAGAATTATCCAGTCTGGAGAAAAAACCTTCCCTGAAACAAAGGCAAGGTTGCAAAATATTACAACTGAATGGTCAAAAAGGTATCACATAAACAAAATGGATAAAGGTTATGACATTTTAATTCAACATTGTAACTGCCACTGATAAAGCACCCAAAAGGTTTTACAAAGCAAGTATTTGAGAAATCACAGCTAAAAACATATGACCACAAGCTAGTACTGCAAATTTAGACATGATCGTTGAAATGTATATGCACTACCAAATTATTGCAGCTTCATCTAGCTGTTTCACTATACAAAATTCGCGTTTGAAAAGGGAAGCCTAGTACACAAAGCTCAATAACATGCAAGGGGAGGGGAGGGGAGATGCAAGAGGCTTAACCCTGCTCCACAAAAAGTTGTTTTTATGAACTGAAAGTTGAAAACTAGAACTCCGTGTCACGATCAAGAAGCCACACCAATGTATCATATCTTAACATGCTATATTTATCACATCTTTATGTGAGAACTTGAATAAAAATAACTATATGTGCAAAGTACTAGCATTTACAGTCTCAACCTTGTTATCACATTGCTCAATAACATGCAAGGGGAGGGGAGGGGAGATGCAGGAGGCTTAACCCTGCTCCACAAAAAGTTGTTTTTATGAACTGAAAGTTGAAAACTAGAACTCCGTGTCACAATCAAGAAGCCACACCAATGTATCATATCTTAACATGCTATATTTATCACATCTTTATGTGAGAACTTGAATAAATAACTAACTATATGTGCAAAGTACTAGCATTTACAGTCTCAACCTTGTTATCACATTGCTCAATACATAACTGATATTATTACTTATTTACGCAACTTCAATGTTACCAAGAAGTTCTTTATTGCAAGAATCTTGACGAATTATTTCAATCTGACAGAACACATATTACTTTAAGCTTTAGTGAAAACGCAAGTCTAAATTTGAGATCTAAATCCCTTGTTTTAAATTCATTCTTCTGAATGCAGTTGTGACTTTATGAAAATTGAGGAGAAATAGCATCAGAGAGAAAGTCCAGATACTGCTTTGTTAGACAAACTGAGCTAAATGTACTAAACAGTAGAAATTTCATTAATTGAAGTTCTGCTAAAATAAAGTCTATAAAAGATTTTACAGAATGCCAAAAAGTGGAATTGTAACACAGCAGCAGATGAACTCTGTTGTTTATATGAAATAAAGAAAAAAGTACCTTAGACCAGATACAGTCTGCTTTTGTCTCAATAAGCCTAATTCGCTGGCTGCAATAGAGGTAGATCTGTTACCTTCACGCATTCTTCCATTTCTCAGGAATCTACCCCTCAGCAAGGACTGCAAAAAAGAACAAGGTATATGGAAATAAATGAATGTCAGTAAAAGCAATATATGTTTTTTTTAATGCCAAAAGCAAGAAAGTGCTACACTCAAAAGGTTAACAATTGGCAGTAGGACGCATTAAGTCACGTGATTTAAGCAACCATCGCTAGCTAAGATACATTACAGTTGCCCTCAAACAACAACATTATAGAAGATCCATAAACATTGTTAGGATTTATGACAGTATTTTAGCAGACAATAATTAATGTAATAGGTAGCCTAATTGCTTTTGAGAGTTATAAAACTATTATCTGCAGAGCATTTAATTACCAGGACAAGCTGCATTCTAAAATGGTAAACAACAGTCAAATAGGAAGACTAAAACAAGGCAACTTGTTGAGACAGATATGCTAGCAATCCCTACTTGACATATGACCATAATTGTGCTCTTTGTTCAAAAATAGTATTCTTTCTAGCATTTAATATCTACACTGGATAGCGTGATATTGGGACTTTCTCTTTTTGTACGAATGTCATAGTTGCAATAAAGTCATTTTCAAGAATTTTAACAGGGAAGTATGAATCAATAATTAGACATCTAAAACTGTTGTTAGAGTTCTTATAAAAAAACTGTTGTTAGAGTTCTTATAAAAAAAACTGTTGTTAGAGAAAATATTATGCTTAAAAGAATATGACTTTAAGCTACATGGGAAAACTTAAGGCAATTAACGACCTCATTGCATGTATAGTCTACTTTTGTGCTAGAGAAGAGAACAATCCTTATAGCTCTCAAAAACATGTAAGAAGCTTCTCCATTATGTGAATCTATAACACCGAAACTACCAAACTAGCCTCTACCTTAAATATGGGTATATGGGTGGTAGGTGTCCTAAGGGAGGTCTTTATTTGCAAATTTGAAAGAACAAGGACAACATGTGAACAACTAAAGACAACAGCCACCTAAAAATGGTTAGACTTGATATGCATCTACCTGAATGCGGTTGCGATGGGCAAAATTTGATACAGCTCGATGCTCCAACAACCCCTGGAGCTCAGTTTGCCTCTCTCTCTCAGCCTTTTTAAGCATATCTAGCAGGGCATGTCGGCCACATAATTTACGAATTCCCCTACGCACAAGCTCAGTCCGCCCTGCATTCCGGTTAACCACCAATCCATCAAGAACTCGTTCAATTTGACCACCAACAGTAGCAGTTTGCTCTTCTATACTATCAACACAAGCACCTCTCTGCTGGCTGTTCATTTGCACCCACTCCCTTATAATCCTGACCCTCTCTTGCTCAGTTTCTCCAAGCCACTGGGCTCTTGAATTGTTGTTTCTACGGGAAAAATTAGATGTATGGTCCCTGCCACCACTGTTCATCCACTCCCGAAAATTTTGCCTTACCCTTTCCCTTTCAACTTTCCCCAAATCAGACGAATGTTCACAGTTAAGATTATTCGAATCTCCATTCCCATTCTGCAGCCCAAATCGATCTGGCAACCATCGTCCAAACTCATTCTCACTCATGCTCACATCATCTGAAACACCACTATCTTCACTATTTCGGCTATCGGAAAGATCAGTCACTGAGAGGTCATCACTCCTTAGTTGGAGCATTCTTTCACTAGCCCTCTCTTGAGCATGACTCACCACATGCTCATCTTCAAGCTCCCGCCACATCTGCAGAAGTAAGGATGCCCGGGTGCTACCATTTTCCCAATTTCCTGATGTTTGAGACTGAGACTCCCTTAGGAAGGAATTTTCAAGCACAGAAATATTGTGTAGACCAGCAATAGCCATATTGCTCCAAAATCTATATTATCAAACCCTTTCAACTCATCTGCTTCAAATGCCTGAAAAACTGCATTTGAGTAGGATAAATCCCGTTTCAAAATATCAATAAACGCCTAAAACTAGTTAGTTTTCATATTTTCATCATTTATCAGCGTTTTCATTGCCATCACCTTCATACAATCTCTAAAAACTCTGCAACAACAACAAAAAATCTTAGCTTTCTCTAACTTATTTTCACAAATAAATTGTAACACTCCTGAATCTTGATATCCAATTTCCTCAATGCCATGTTTCACCAAAATGAGGAAGAAAAATATAATTAAACAAAGGATCTGCTTAAATAACAACTACCTATCACCAGGATTATTTATGTATCATTTCGAAGAAAAAAATGCATTAGACACATTCATTTTAATGGTTGAACAAAAATTATAGTATATAATCCTAACAACTGCCATTAGTCACTGGTTGATATTTTCTCAAAGAAATCTGGGTATCATTCACAAAAACCTCCAGCAAACACGCCCAAAAGCAGTAAGCTAAATTAATTTATTCGGTTATTACCTAGTTTTCCGGCTAATAACATGTAGAAAGACAAGGAAAATTCCGAATCTCAAGTTTTAGAGTCTCTCGCAAAAAAATAAAAGAAAAAGGAAAAAGTTAACCGTTTACAATTTCTGAGAAATTCAAAATTTAACTGTCTATTCTTTTCATCACAATTCTGAACACCCAAACAAGACAAACGAATAAACATTACCAAATACATATTCAAATGAAAACGTAGATGGAAACAACCACAACCCGACAAGGAGGCATCATTTAAAGAGGGAAGAATCAGAAACGAAAACAGATAGAGAATCGTACCGTAGAAGCTTTGGTTTCTTTTATTTTGAAGCAAAGGGGAAAAGAAACCTCAAGAGGGAGAAACTGAGAATGTGAAGAGAAAGAACACAGAGAGAGAAATGCGAGACAAGGGAGATGAGAATTTAGAATGAATGATAAAAATATTTTTTAAAATAAAGGACTGGGACACGTTCGTTATTTTTATTTTATGTCATTTAAAATAAAAACTATTCAGGTCGATGATGGAATCCGGATGCCGATTAAATAAACCCGCCGCAACACTAACGTCTAAGAATCAAAGGTAAAAACGAATAGGAGATCGACACGTGTATCGAAACCTTTTTCTCGTGGGGTAAATTATGAAAAGGTTCCCAAGATTCGGAAGTGTTGAACAGAAAACGACGCGGGGTTTTCTTCGTGAACATGGAGTGGTTTTGGTTGGTTTCATGAAATTTCAAAATAAAGGTCTAAGAAGGGTAATTAAGGGATTTCAACTAGCGAGGGAGAATGGGGGATGGCCGGAATATGGTTGCGTTAACGGCAACTCGAAATAGAGCACCTCTTTTTGAAAAAAAGTAACAATAAAATAAAGTCGTACAAAGTGGGATCTTAAGAAATCTCTTATTGAGGAAATTTAGTAAACGTGTCATTATCTCATAATCCGCAAAGGTTCAGGTTATTATTATTATATGAGGTACTAAATTATTTAATATTAATTTAAATTTAGCACTTTTTTTTGACCGGAAAATAAGTTACAAATTTAAAAATTTAAATTCAAAAACAAAACTTCAAACGAAAATAAATCAAATCTAAATATATTGAATATCCATTTTCAATATGACAGACATGAAGTAATTGAATTAACTACCATACTAAATATAATATTTTTTATAAAATAATAATTATTGATATTCGATTTATTGATAGATTAATTCAAATCGAATATTAATAAAAAAATCATTATATAAGTAATATTCTTAATCTAATTTACTTAATTAACAAAATTAAATTTTAAATAACATGATACATCATCTTAATAATTAATGTTTGATCGAATAAAATCATCTTTTTTTAACTTGAAACGATACTGAATTTTACTAAAACAAAAGAAGATACAATCATAACAATGCACTCAATCAAAGAAAAAATTTAGAGACTAAGTCCACTAAATAATTCAAACATAAAATCAAAAAAAAAAACTCAAAAGCGCAATATTAATCAAAATCGTCTTTTGAATCTAATGTCTATCATATACGGATGGGCATGGGTCGGGTTTCGGCCAACCCGACCCGAAAATTTTACATCCTTCACCCAATCCGATTTGACCCAAAAAATATATACTCTTCACTTGACCTGACTTTTTGAGATAAAATCTGAACCCGACCCAAGCCAACCAAAATAATAATAAAAATATTATTTTTATTCAATAAAAACAATGATTTAATTGAAAAAAATAATATATAGAGGAGTATTATTGTAATTATTCCTAAATATATAAGGTAAAATTATTTTTTTCTAGGGTCGGGTCAGATATTTTTCACCCTAAACCCGAATCAGATCGACCCGAACTTCACCTTCAAAAAACTTGACCCGAACCCAATTTTTTTTAAAAAAAAATTGACCTGATCGGGTCTGGTTGAATTAAAACCCGTCGAGTTCAAATCTCATGTCGATCCCTACTATCATCCATAGTAACCAAGAAATAGTCAGTAATACTCATTTGTATCTATCCAACTAGAAACTCCAAAGATGATGAAGCATATAAAAGTAAACTTACAATCTACTTCGCAAATTAGAACTGACTACAACGGCAAACCAAACAAAAGGAAATTTAACCATTGAAAAATCACAGATAATCGCAAATCAGATACAAACGATGTGAGAATATCTATACAATCACAAATCTACCACAGAGGTAGGTGAACAACATACTATAAAGTAGAGAAAATATGCTACAATAGCAGAGTTAAAACGAGAAAAAAACAACAAACATGCGAAAAATATGTGAAAAGTAAAAAATCAAACAAAAGATAATTTTATTAAAATTTAGGAAAGAATTAAATAAAAATAGCAAACTAGAGCATAATATAAAAATAAATACCAACAATCGACAATTAATATCAAAATTGATATTGCAGTCGATTAAATAAAAAAAAAAGCTTTGCGACTGTAAAGAAAAAGATAAATTAAAAAATCAAAAGAAACTTTTGGCTTCAGTATGGGGAAATTACCGAGAATTAGGTATCGGCGTCACACATTTTTTTAAGGATGTTGGCATCAAACATTAGGTTGGGTAATATAGGGAGATGAGGTGTTACCATTGAGCTATAAATTTCTAGAAGTAAATTGACAGAATCTGGTACGTTAAACGAAATGGTGAATTTTTTTAAGGGGAAAAAACATAAAGTTAAAAAGCTAATTCAAATTTGTGAAGAAGGCTTACCGAAAGGCCAAGTGATTATTACTTAATTTCCTATGACTATAACTCTCCAACTATGCCTATTAACTAAACTAATCTTTCTATCATTATTAGTATGATTGGTTGTGTCTAATTAAAAGTTGGTTGCAAGTTAATTAGTGTAAAGTCATTGTTTAGCTTAAAACATATTTATTATTTTAATAAAGTTCATATTAATCTTCCAATCACTGTTAGAATAAATTATTCTTATTCTAATAAATTTCAATAAAAATAATATATATATTCCGTCAACCAAATAATAAAATTCTAAATTCTAACTAAAGTAATCAAACAATACAATATAATATGTCTAACAGATTAGAGGGTTGAGTAACCTTACATTACCATAACCGATTATAAAATATAATATTAAAAAACTAATTGTTATTTTGAGGAAGTTCTTGCTTTAAAATTGAATATAATTTTATTTTTCTTTTATTCTTAATTAATATCAATTAAACTATTTATTATCTTTTCTTCAACTCCGCTTAGGGTTTTTTTTGTCAAAATTTTCCATTTGCCCATGTATTGTATTTAAATTATAAATTTATCCTCTATACTTTAGTTTGATCAGTGTTAGTCTTTATATTTTATAAAATCTGAAATTTTAGTAATGACTAAATCGGTAAATGAACAATATAATTAAATTAAAGTGATGCATACAATCTATATAAAGTCAAGTGGTCAAATTGATATAAATCCAAAAATTCATGATGTTTGAGGTAGTTTATCCAAAATAATAAATAAAAATTATTCAAATATTATTATAAAATACACGCCGTTCATGCACGGGAATTGGGCAGTCAATTATTCAATAAAAGAAGTTTGAAGAAAATGGGCTGACTCCAACTTTACCGGCATTTGGCGAAATCTTCGGCAGTATTGAATTATATATTAATTAATAAGATTATGACCCATCTAAAATGATAGAATTGTGATTTAGTCTTAAAAACTTAAAGCTATAAATTAATAAGGAGTAAAATTGTATTTTAACTTCTATAAATAATTATAAGTTAATTTAAATTAAAAAATCGGATTCACCCTCGATGCTTAAATTTATTTTTATCTTTATAAAAGTAACTAATTTTATTCCCAAATTACAATAAAGATTTACAATCACAATCGTAAATTAAGTACGTAATTAGGAAAATTTCATATAATCATTGAAACAAAACTAGCAACTTAAAGATCACATAAGGACCATACAATGAAAAATTAAATCTAATCAAGAAACTCGAACAAATATAGATATAAACATATTTGATCGCATCAACAAACGAACCACAAAATGAGATTAAGCTATTGAAAGACCATTGGCAAACTGCAAATCAGACTTGAGTGAAGTGAAAAGCTATTCACGAACACAAATAAGGTATCTGATGATCCAAATCATGGAAGATTGACAATATATCATATAAACACCGTATTGATCAGTCGTGACTCTAAGGTGATATTTGTTTTAAAAGAAATTTAGTCATTGAAATAACAAATGCTTTGTCGACATAACTATTTAATTTTAACATCTAAAAAAAGTACTTAATAAATTTGAAGGTTTAAATTAATAATTAATTTTTTAAAAATCATGTCAACTGTTTAATGTAAAGTTAAATGTTATTATAAATGTATACATAATTATATTGGTACGACACAATTTTGATAATTTTCATTTTGATGTATCGAAAAGTGCTTGTAAAGTTAGAATTAGTTGACTATGAATATGTTGGGTTGTTTTTTAAGTTTATCAGAATATCCGGATAGAAGAAACGTTGGTAAAGATTTATCATTTGACATGATGTTGAGAGTAAATTTAAATTTTTAAACTTCGATTCTATCAATCTATAATTATAAAATCATCATCCTATATATCCTAAGTTAAAAACAAACATCGAGAGAAGGCATGAATGGACAAAGGAGATGAAAGGGGTCACAAATAGAAGAAATAAAAATTATTTCACGGTCTCAGCTCATCACGTCATCTATAATCCTAATAAATTATATCGATTAATTTTAAAATAACTACTAATTCTTTATTTACACGTAGAAGTTTAAATAATTAGTCACTGTCATTAACCACAATCTTCATAAATTTTATTTTTGTGTGTTTTATAATCGGGGACCGGCAAACTGAAAAAACAATCATTGCTATCGATTCCATATTAAACCAAATGCAAATGAACTCAGGTGCCACTACTTTGGACAGAAGCGCTTAATTGTGGCACAATTAGTTCAAATTCTTTCAGAGGTAAATGCTTTAGAATATCCCGTTCTTGCTTCAGATCCTATTCCTCTGCAATTTCTGGTCGCATATTTTGGGTGTATCGTGGGGGAATATTTTCATTTTTCACAATAATGGAATAGAGGTTGCAAGCAGGGGAAGGATTGAAGAAAAGTGATTAATGTCGGTAGGGGTTAAGAGGTTAGAGATGAGAATTTAATGTTGATTTTTAAAAAAATAATGTATCTTAATTTTATTAGTTTGGACCATCTCCTATGTGGTGAGGGGGTCTATAAAATAATTTTTCTATCATATGGGACACGCCCTTACTCGATATCACACATATCGAGTTCTATAATGGTAGGACACCGTTTGCCTATACACAATCGAGCAAAATAACCAACCAGCCCCCCATGCTCTTTTGAGGGGCCAATCAGCCAATACCCCCACAAAGACTGAACCACAGTCCATACCCTTTTCCTCAGGGCAACGCTTTTGTCAGAAAAGGAGGTATACCTTGTGTTCCACTTCTGGCTTTTGATTGCTTGTCAGTAAAATGTAGCTCAAAGTCTTACAATTTGACCACTTACGAGCAGTAAATCCACTTCTGGTTTTTGATTCCTTCTCATGCAATTGGGTACTGTTTTACCTACTCCATGTAGATGAAGGTTTTTCATAATCGAGTGATCATTTAGTGAAGGGCTGGTGAGATTAGGTGGAGCAACACATCAAATTGAATGAAGCTTTCAATGCCATAAATCCACGGGGGGATCTGTAGGTGTAAGCTCTTTAAAGTGTGTGTGTGTGCGCAATTTTTGCAAGTAAACTTTCCTCACTTGGCGTCAAAGTTAATCTTAAAACTAATAACAAAGGTCGGGTTGTTTTCAACAAATGAATCGTTTCTTATGTCATTATCTTTTCCTTTCACCAGCTTAACATTGACATAACCTACTCTCTTTCTTTCTTTTGAATGAATGGTAAACTACATATTTAGTCGCTACTTATTTATATGGTTTCATTCTGATCATTCAATTTTTTTTAAATCATACTTAATGTTACGTTTTAGTTCCATTTTAATTATCCATCGTTTAAAAGTAATAGTGATATCGATGTGTCACCACAGGATAATGTCACATCATCATACCCAAATCTGTTTATTTTTAACGGAGGGTGACTAATACAAAATCAAACCTTAACATTAGATATATTTTGAAAAATAGTTAAGTGGACGACTAAATACAAAATTTACCCTTAACAAATAATAAGATTACTTTTAAAACGAGAATAATTGTTCCTGCCCCAGTTGAAGTCATAACTCATAAGTCAGTGATAGGATAGGCCATTTCAGCCATGGGCTAAGCCGACAAACTAGACCCGGGACTGTTTCTGCAGGTAGCATGACAAAGTTGACATGGATTAATATTATTATAATTTTGATACATACTGGAATTCTTGTGATATCAGTAGCCGGAGAAAAAGAACAATTTTCACACCATATTTAATCAAAGAAGAAAACAAAGACAATAGCATGGAAGATATAAGATGGAAAGCAAACCAAGGACACCGGTTGAGAACATGTAAAAGCAAATTGGAAACACGCAAACAAAACCAGGGGAGACAAAGGGTGATTGTTCCAAAAAAATCATACACTAAAGTTCCGTTTCACATGGAATCTTGTCAAAATGTTTATACCAAGATAAATGAAACGTCGCCGAGTAACAAACAATCCGTAGAGTACGATGATTAGACTTCCATATGCCTACCTTAACCCGAGTCCTTGCCTTAAAACGAACATCAACTTGAATCTCCCTTGATGCTGTTTCAACCATGAGATCTTTAGATGTTGGCGGCGATATCGCCAAATTTAGAGCCACCAGTCTCGATTTGACTCGGCTGACGTTCCTGTGAGGCTGGAAGAAGGGATCGATTGTATTGAACGCGATGGTTTGATCTTCGTATTTCACCGTAGACTCGATGTAGTCGTAGTAGACAGAGAGTCTTCTGTTAGGGTTATGCGCCCTGAGAACAAAATCGAATGTGGCATTGAGATGGTTGTTGGTTAGGTTGAAATTCTGGACTGAACCGTTTTCAAGTGTGTAGACCAACTTTTTGGGGTTAATGACTAGCCAAGTGATCAACACGGCTAGACCAAGAATGACAATAAGGGCTAGCAAGCAAGCGGCAACACATCGTACAAGGCTAAAAGGTGTTCTTGACTGTTGTTGTGTAGCTGGTGCCGGAACAGCCGTATTACTTGCCTGCATTGTTTTTGCGGACAGTAGCTGGATATGAACTTTGAACTCAGGGAAATGCCGACTGCTGTTTTATACAGGGTAAAAAGTTTGGAGAATACTTTGCTAAAGAACTTAAATATATATCTAACAAAAGAATGTTGAATTGCTTTTGTGTTTTGTTCTTCAATTTTTCCTTTTTCCTTTTTCAAATCTCTCTGAGGGACTATAAGGTTTCTTGGACGAAACTCAAGATATCTAAAAGATTCATGGCATGTTCTTTTCTTCTGCTTCAAATGTTGCAAGATTCATTGCTGCAAACCTGCAACTTCTAGGTAGGACTTAGGTCGGCTGATTTTTATCCTGTTGGAAGTAAGAATCAAAGAGTATTTCATAATGATTCGACTTTAATTATTCAATTTCAATATGATTCGATCAATAAACATCTCTAATCTATATTTACTTCTCGTGATTACTATTTTTGGACCAATAATAAGAGGATATAATTTATGCAAGAAATGTTCATGTATCAAAATGGATTCCTACTAAATTTATATATGATATTAATATCTTTAATATTTAATTTCATAGTACTTTAACACTCATTGACATTGTCATGGACACTCTTTTTCTTCCAATTACGTCTAGGGAGGGGTTTTAACGAGGTTCATGTCAATGTTTCCTTAATCCTTGTATGAATTACTTAAATCAATTATATTTTTACATTAAAAAAACAAACATAAAATGTATGTTTTAAATTTTATTAAAGTAGAGCGAGCACATTTTGTCGTTTGGTCAAACAATTCATCTTTATTTCGTCATATTCTCTTAGGTTATGAGTTCTAGACTCATTTCGAGGATTCTTTTTTTTCTCCTACCCTGATTTTTACTCTTTCAAACATGTACAATGTAATACAATTTTCAATGTATACATATATGTTATTATAATTTGACTTTTAAGTAAAATTTAAAAATAAATTGATTGGTCAAGTCTTTAAATATTAATATTCGAGCCTGGTCCATATTTAAACGTGTCTGGTATTAAAAACGTATGATTTTATAAAAAAAATCTAAATTTCAGATGAAATATTGAATATAGATCAATAACCTAACGCTTGAATAATTATACTTGTACCCATATCTTAAAACATGTCAAGCTGGCTTACTTTCTTCCTTATCTGAAATGGTTTTTCAGGGAAATTTAAGACTTTTACTTTACACTATGATTCTTGCTTGACCTCTAAGTAATTCCTAAGCCATCTTCACTGCAACTTTATTATGGAGTATGGATAGAAGAGGAGGACAATTTTCGTTTCATGAAGCATGAAAACTTTTTACACACTCCATACTATAAATGCCACGTTCAATTCAAACAAAAGACATTTTTTCCAATGAAAGCGGCAAATTGAGATAGATGAAATGATTGTAATTATAGAGATTTAAAGATCATTTAAGATTACAAAACTAGGGTTTAAGTTTAAGAGACAGGAGAGTTTTTGTAGTTTAATTTGTAATATAAAATTGTAGCTATGTATCATGATCTATCTCATCGGACCTCAATGTTCTTGTTCATTCATTTATATAGTGATCCACACATTACATGTCAGAATCTAATTAATTTTAGTTCAAAATAATGCATCGCGCCATTAATTAGATGGAACTTCTACTTATCACCTTCCCTTTCCCCTTCTCTTCCAATAACAACCTTCCCTTTCCCCTTCTCTTCCAATAACAATGCATGAATGCTTTAGCTAAAGAACTAATGGAGACAAAGTAAAATCCAATTCCAGGCAAAGTGTTGCTAAAACCCACGCTCCACACGCGCCTGACGCGCCCAGCTGCAAGATGAATTTGATCCAGCAACGCCTTTCATCGCGTGGTGTGTGTGTTGGGGGGTCGAAGCTGAAGCACATGTAGTACTATTTTATTGGCAAGGCAAGGAAAAGTTGGAAAAGAATTAAGGCGTAAATGGGCTAAGGTTGTGGTGACCAAATGTGGGGCAATGGAGTTGGTCGCCGCATATCCCTTGGAAGATGCTTCCATTTCCTCCTTCTTCTTCTTCTTTTTGTAAAAACCAAATTTCAAATAGTAGTATATAAAGGGAATGTTGGATTCAGATTCGAGCAGTTTATTCTCACGCGCATATATCTATATATATCATCGTAAGCGAAGGTAGATAGAAGCCATTGAAGAATATGCTCATGATTAGCTATTTGAATATCTCCAACGGTTTCACCTAGTCAAGGTGCCACCCTCACCCAAAAAAGTTGGTGGGAGGTGGCAGACTATAAATATGCAAGGTGAGAAGTTTGATATTATTTTCAAATTATTAATTTAAAAAAAATAAATTTAAATGTTTGAATTGCATACTCCAACATCCAAATATAGAATTTAAAAGTGTTTTTTTTCGTGAGATTTTTTAAAATTTTATTAGTTTAATTTAATATATAAAATTATTAATAATTAAATGTGTAATATTATTATATATAAAAAATAAATATAATCGAGTACTCGGGTAACCTTGTATTTGAAAAAAAAATTAATTCTGTGACTCGGGTCCAACCCAGAAAATACCGGGCCGGATACCCAATCAAAAACTTGATTTTTTTATTAAAAAAATACCCAATTTTTTTTTATCGGGTCTGCAGGTAGGGGTGTAAACGAGCCGAGTCGAGCTCGAGTATTGTTGAGCTCGACTTGACTCGAAAACTCTGAAATGGAGCTCGACTCGAACTCGAAATCCTGAACTGAAGCTCGTGAGCAGCTCGAAAAGGCTCGAAATGAAAAAAAATCTTAAACTTAATAAGATTGAATCCTCAAACTCGAACCTGAACCTTAAATATATAAAAGTCTTATTGTATTTTTTTAAAAAAAAATCAATTTTAAATGTTAATATTATTAATAATTTATTTTTTTAAAAATAAATCTTAATATATTATATTTTCGAGCTACTCACGAGCTTTTCGAGTCGAGTATCAAGTAGCTCGTTTCGGCTCGTTAAGAATTCGAGTCGAGATCGAGTTCGAATCGAGTCCATTCGATCCGAGTATTTATCGAGCCTTGACCGAGTCGATCTCGAATAACTCACGATCTGTCTCGTCTCATTTACAGCCCTATCTGCATGTCAAGATATCCGGATCACTCCAGTTGGGAATTTTTTAATACCCCTAATTAAAACACTCGCATAATTATAGAAAAATTCGGTGGACGGTGCACCCTTTGCCCTTTCCTCTGATAAATATATCTATATTACGCCTTTGTCACTCTCTTTACCATAATTGTAATCCCAAATAATTCTCTCCTTCGAAATCATCCTTTCGCTCTCCCTCCATCCAAGGTACGCTGCACTTCCCTTTTCTTTTATTTTTAGTAAATAAATTTCATTTCTGTTTTAGTGTCATGAAAGATTGTATGATCTTTGCCGCCTGATTTATTTATTTATTTATTTGCTCATGTTGTTTCGTTTTTCCAGATCCGAGCTTGACACTGAATTTCAAAAAAAATGTCAATAGATAAAGTGATTTATTTTATTGTTTCCTTTGCAGCAAAACCTTAAAATGGGGCAGATTCAATACTCTGAGAAATACTTCGATGATTCTTATGAGTACAGGTCGAGCTTAAATTCGTCTTTATTTTTTGCTAGGTTTAACCTTTTCATCGTTCTGCTCGAAATTTCAAAATGTCAAGTTTTTGTTTTGTTTTTTTCTTCCTCCTTTTGTGGTGTTTGCTGTACAGGCATGTTGTTCTTCCTCCTGAAGTGGCCAAACTTCTCCCCAAGATCGCCTCCTCTCTGAAGTATGTTTTCTTAGGGTTTTACACGACTTTTTAAAACATTTTTTTATCTTATAAAAATCATTCCAGTGTCTTTCTAGTTTAATAATTCCTTAAATTCTTATCTGAAATAGTTTGCGTAGTTGGCTATCCATTTAGGCAATTGATTATCTATAACCGTTATCTCTGAGTTTCAGTGTTCATTACATTACTTGTGCAAATGTGAATAACTGTCTCGCAATTGAGCAACTCATTGCCTTCACTACTCGTGTATTTTGTACCAATTTTCCATCTTCCAAGTACCTGAGTAAGAATACGAATTGTTTTATGAATGTAAACCGTTGCCTTGTAGGCAGCGGCAAAGCCAGAATTCCTTTTTTTAGGGGAGCGATATTGAATTGTAATTTTTCAGTGGTAAAGTCACTAAATTTTTACTTCTTTCCGCTCTTGTCAAAATGCGTAACTTCAGAGTTCTTGTTTTCACGATTCTTGTTCTATAGGACATGGTAGATTTTTACCAATTGGTTTTTGAAGTATGAATTGGATGAGTGGACTACATAGATTTGTATAAATTGCCTTGGTACCGGAGTATGATTTCACCGAATAACTAAGGTTTCAAAACATTATATGTTTGTATCTGATTCTTAGGACTCCCTATTTCCTTTGTTTTGGTGGCTAAAAGTATCATTGATGTTATGTCGTGTCCATTAGTGTTTTTGGGTTTATCAAGATTTGTAGTGATTCTGATTTTGGTTCATATCGCTGCCCTTTTGTAGAACGAATGGCGTGCTATTGGAGTACAGCAGAGTCGTGGTTGGGTTCATTACGCAATTCATCGCCCTGAACCACATCATGCTCTTTAGGAGGCCTCTAACTATCAGCAGCAACAGGAGAATCAGTCCCAGCAAGCATGCTTGCCAAGTAATTATAAAAGTGTTTAGTATCCAAAGATGGGACTTTGTTAGTGTTTATTCTCTTATTAAACAGTTTGTATGTTGTGGAATCCGTGGATTGTTTTGTATTTTAGTTCTCTACTTTGGAGAATTCCAGGTCATGCTTGCTGCTAGTTGCCATCTTTATCTGGCTATCTAATGTTATTGGTACCCTGCTTCTTACTTTCTTTAGCATGGATGGTTTTTCCACCCGAATCGTGAATCTTAAGTATTACTCCCTCTGTCTCACTAAATGTCTCTTTCGATTTTTAAAATTGTCTTATTCAAAATTTCTTATTAGAAAAATCAACAAACAACAGTCCTTATATTTTTCTTTTTACCCTGATATGTTTTATTTTTTATATCTATCAAAACAAATCTGTAAAATTTATCATCACCTTTTAGGGATAATTTTGTCATTTCCCTTTATCAAATATATCTCTTAAACTATATGTATGATCATATACATCATAAATTGTGGGACAGAGAGTATATGTTGATATAAATTTTGCTGAGTGGATAATTTGCATCCTAATAAAGTTTGTGTGCATGTGTTTTGTATTTGAAGTAAGTTTTGTTGTCTATCGTATGAAAATTCGGTGTGTGTGTTTTGTGTTTGTAGTTTTTGGCTATCGTATGAAAGATTCGGTGTCTTCTTAATTGATGTCATTAAATTTATTAAAAAAAATAGTAAAAATCAAGGATTCGATTTTTTTTACTCTAACCAACGGAAAAAGCATCACGTCATTTTTCCATGAATGGAGTGATCTAAATATTCATATTTGAAAATATTTGTAGTGAAACTGAAAACTTTATAAAAAGGTAAATTATAATTTTTTTATTGTTAATAGTTACCGATAAAAACAAGTGATTGGCAGACCAGTTTAAATATTATTGTTAATCTTTCTGCAATAAATATCATAACAACTTATGAAAATAATCCCCCTTTGCAATAAGAACAGAACATCTGAACAGAATTTTAGGAAAGAAGTCCGGCAGCGATAATCTCCTTTTGAAGATCCCAATGATGGAAATACCATTGTTGGAGTAGAGAGCAATATATTTTCATTTGAGTTTTATTTAATGGCATATGATAGAGATTAAAAAAAATTGAAACATTCAACTCTAAATTCGTAAAACTTAAACATTTGAAGTCAAATGCACATTAAATTCGTGTTTAAAAATATTAAAAATATGATGAAAAAGTGTTGTGTCTCATCAATTATTGGTGATGGCCGAAATGAAGGCTAATTACAGTATGCAGTGACTGAAATTTGAGTTAGAGAGGAAGAAAGAAAATGAAAAATGAGATTGTTTACCTCAAAATATTAATTCCGTTTTAAAAAAACTTCGATGACTAATCAATATACTCTGCATCATCTCTTAATTTTAATCTTTTTATTTGAAAAAATGAAAATCAATTTTAAAAAATAAAATAGATAATATGTCAAAAACGCCTCTCTTCCCCGCCCTTAACCTCCACCGTAAAATCACCCTCCCTTCCTCTAACCCCAACACTTCTGTTTTCCCTTTCTCCATTTTGTACCTCAATCTCTATCCACCTTCCTTCCAACTCTATTAATGTCGTATACCTCGTTCATCCCTATGTTTTCTTTAATTTCATAGCTAAGTTTTTGAGATGAGATCAATGATTATGAATGTAAAAGATAGTGGCGAATCCTTGAATATTATGGCTACAAAGTCACTACCCATCATTCCAAACATAAGATCAATCTCTCCGAGCCAATGAGTTTTTTCTGAACTGTTGAACGGTGTTCATCCAGTGTCGATTGAGGCAAAACTTGATTGAACCGTGGGTCCTAAGATGCTTTTTGTAATGTTGTAGGGTTTGGTGGAATGAAAAGGGTTTTGGGTAAGGATTTTAGAGTCGATAAAAGGGTGAATCCAGGAAATAGGCTTGGAGTTTAGGATTAAATTGAAAAAGATTGTGTGATCTTAGAAATTTGAATCTCTTTGAAAAATATAATCTTTCACGTGAATTAAAGCAAAGATGAATTTGTGATCTAGTAATGAATCATGGGAAGATAGTATTGAACTTAAATCTGAGATTATTACTTGTTAAAAAAGGTCTGGAAAACTAAAATTTTGTGACGTACATATATTGGTGATGAAGGAAGGAGAGGGGTGTTCGAAAATTCCTCACCGTGCACTCTCATGGACTCCAGCTTGAACTCCCGATGAAACGTTGAGTTATGGTGCAAGGTGGGGAAAAGAGGGTGGTGAAAGGGAGGGTGGTGTTGACGGTGGAGATGGGGAAAAGAGGGTTATTTTTGACATATTATATGTTTTAAATTGATTTTTATTTATTCTAATAAAAAATTAAAACTAAGAGGTGATGTGGCGTAATTTGACTGGTCATCGAAGTTATTTAGTCATTGTTTTAGTTTATCATTTTTTCTCATGGTTGAATTTGATATTGTCATGGCTGATCAAGATGACACTTATTTGTTATCATGTTGGCATTACCTACTTTGGACATTTGAATTGGATTTGAATTTGTGATTTCAGTCCATTGGTAGTTTTTCACATCATTCGACTCTGATTTTTGATTTGTCATTGGTCTTTCAATAACTTTATCCTTTTTTGTGGGTCATTTGTTGATGCGATCAGATAAATCTGTATCCATATTTTGTTAGAGTTTTTTTAATTAGATTTTTAACATTTTTCTTGTACGATCCTTATGTGATCTTAGGTTACTAATTTATTGCTTTATGTAGAAAAATATCATAATTATATGTTTAATTTATGTTTATGGTTATAAACTATAATGCCTCGAATATCGGTCTAGTAGTTTTGTGTCGACCCAATAATTTATTTAATAGATCATTTGTATTATGAGGTTCTTTTGGTTCGAAATTGAGTTTAATCGGGTGAGAAATTAACCTTGTATAAGATAAAAAGGGGATTTTTAAGCTCAGGAAGAAGATGGAATGGCTTAGAGTGTAATTTTACCATAGAAGAAAAACATGGCTAATTTTACCATTTTTCTCTTTCTCTTCCCCAAAACTTCTCATTCTTCATTCCCTATTTTCTACTCATTCTTTCTTATTCTTTCAAGCTAGATAAATGGGAAAGCTTGTACCTTTCTTCATCTCATTCTTCAATACTAAATCTGGAGGTAAGATTCTTAACCTAGGGCCCTCAGGCTTCATGAAAAGTTCATCATCTTCTCCAATGATGGTTTTGATCTTCATGAAGGTTCTATGGAGGATTTAAGCTCCAAGAGCTTCCTCCAACGTTTCCATTTGATTTTTATTTGTTATAGTCGTTGTTTGACATCTAGCTTCTAGCCTTCTTCATTTTCATATTACAATCGGTTTGTGGCTTAGGTTGGTAGAAATTGGTGCAAGAACCTCCTTGAGCTAGATCAAGTAAAAGTGTCTCCTTGGGTAAGCTATAGACGATTTTGAGTTGCTAAGAGATGAGGTAACACACTATAAATTTTCTTTACCACTAGTAATGTCATCTAAATTAATATGGTTGCATGTATAGGGTAAGAAAAGCATGTGGGGGTTTGTTCAGTCCATGAGGCATGCTAGAGTAATTTCCATGGAAAAAATCGTATTTGTGTGTTGCAAGTATGAAAAATAGTACCTTTTGACCTCTAAGACACTAAATAAGACGTTAAGCATGTTTACTAGACTTAGTGGAATTGTGGGGGTGATTTTTTGGTGTTTCCTTCTTAGAAAAAAGATTGATCCATTGACCAAAAGAATCGATCCCTCGAGCAAAATTATCGATCCCAAACTTTCTGTTGTGCATATGATCGATCACTTTTCAAAATGATTGATCCCTCAAGCAAAAGGATCGATCCCTCGAAAGAAATAATCGATCTCTTCACTGGGTTGCTCGATGGAAATGGTGAAATTACCTTCTTTAGGGGTCTGAAGTATTGAGAAATATTGTCTTGACCTCAGCATGTTTGAATAAGTTCAATTTGTTATATTAATTGATTTGCTTAAATACTTAAACCCTTAATCTGGATATCATCGATAATGATCAACTCGACTAATAATGCTACGAAATAAAATGATATAAAACTAGCCTTTGTCTGATCATCAAAAAACGGCTAGGACACCCGAGTTACTCTAGCATTATGACGTTTGTCTGTTATTTTATGTTGATATTTGAATATCTTTTATTTGATGGTACGTATATGATGCACATAAATTAAGGGTCGTATCGGTAAAAGTTCATTTGCACGTAAATTCTGGAATCGTACCTTATGCTCGAAAGCCCGTATATGTGGGATCGAGATGTGTGAGGTTCTGATGGACGTAAATTTCAAACCTCACTCCGACCTCTCGAGGATCTGTGGTAGACTAAGGGCTACAAGTTCCGATGCACGTAAATTCTGGTTCTTACCCCGAAGCTATTGCATTTTAGATAGGCTAGTATGTTGTCTGAAATGCACGTAAATTCCTTTGACCACATTGTTAGACCTATCTCATGTTTGTTAATATGTTTCTGCATAATCATGAGATGTTAGGTAAGCTAGGGTTGTCGTCCTGAGATGCACGTAAATTCCTCCTACCATACCACTAGACTTACCTCAGCATGTTTGAGTGTATTTGTATGCACATATTTTCGTTCGTCAACATGATCATTTGATGAATGCATTGAGTATGGTAGATGTATTATGTGACGCGGGGTTTGCGAGCTCAGCGTTCTGAATGTGTTTCTGTTCGCAGGTTTACGGTTTCGTAAATCGCGATGGGATAACGAGATTATCGAAGGAGTCTCACCAGAGTACCAGATTGCGATGATGTCGGCTTAATGGGAATATAGAGGTCATGGTTTGAAAATAGTCAGATAGTATATACATGGGTTATTTATTTTATTTATCTAGTTTCTAAATTGAGGTCATATTTTTATAAATTGTTACGATTTGTACTTTATACAAATACTTTGAAGAAAATATTATTTATGAGGAAAAGTTTTAGGTCTTCACTTTTAAAATTCCGTGTGACATTCGAATCTGTGTGATTCGGGTGTTACATAAACATTTATTGTAATTTTGCATGAACCAACAGAGAACACGGGTTTGAGCACCATTTGCTGCAGCATCGTGATCGAGCGTTCATTATTAGATGGTTAAGAGTATTTAGAATAGATATTGCTAAGGATGGCAGACGGGTACAATTTTGTGGATTATGTACCTTACCCTCTCCAATGGGGGTGGGGATTGATATAGGTAGTGGGTAGTGGGCGGATATATATGAAAAAAGTCATACCTGCCGTGGGTATTAGGTAGGTGATGGGTTTGAGATCTTACCCACCTCACATTCGCCCATGCCGCATCCACCCGCCCCACATTCGCCTTCCCACTAACTACCCACCAACTACCCACCATATAAATTTTGGACCATTATGAATTTAGGTGTAATTTTAGAGACTATTATATAAATCTTAAAATTTTTATTGGATATGACTTGTAATTTAACCAAATATATGGTATAAAAAATTTTAGAATTGAATATCGTCATTCCTTCTATCTCAAATTGACGGGTATGGGTGAATACAGATGGGTATGTGATGGGTGGTGAGTATCTAGTTAGGTAGTGGGTGTGGGGATGAATTTGAGAATGCATCTGCGTGGGCGGGTTTGGATTTAAAAATTTCACCCATCATGGGTGGTGGGTAGGTGGCGGATACAAAAATATTAGGTGAATATGGGGACGGAGGAAGGGATATCTACATCCGCCCGCCCATTTGCCATCCCTAGATATTACTCTGTAATCACCTTAATTTAATAAAAAAATATTTATTGTAATTCTAGGTATCAAATCTTATAATAAAACTAACGAGCTCTATAAAAATTATATTATTTTAATACATCATCATACCATTTTTACTTAATTGAAGAATGATTAAAATATAAATAATTTAGAAATGAAATGATTAAATTTTAAAAATATTTTAGTGACAAAAATAAGAATAAAAATAAAATTGAATGACAGTTTACAATTTATCCTTTAAAAGATCTACGGGAGCGGGAGCAAGGCAGCAAGCCAGCAAGGTAGGCAAAAAATGGCGAGATTCCATTTTTCCTTTTACCAAAAATCGCGCGGACCAATCCTTTTTTTCCAATCTTTTAGGCCGAAAATCAACTTTTTAGTTGAATTGGAGGGAAATTTATCGAAATAATATTTTCCATTTTTTTAAACAATGAAACTTAAATAACAGTTTTATTAAAATATCATCCTTTTAATAAAGGTACACCTATGTACAAGTGTTCTTTTGAAAAAATTATTTTGGAGAGAGAGCATTTGTCTTGTCTACATGATAGGTCATCTGAACAATTGTTCTAACATTGATATTATCTAGAATTAAAATAAAAAATTTAAATTAAAAATTACATGAATTTTATTAAAAAGAAATAACACGTGTTGTACGTGTCAAAGACAAATAATTGTATGAGCATGAGTCGAATGATAATTGCAATGCACATGTATAGATATTATTTTCAATCATTCAGTGACTGTATGTTCAAAAAACTATATTTAAACACTTTAAAAAAATCTCATGCATAAGATAATGTGAGATTTGAGAATACTATGACAAAAAATTTATGATTTTGAGTTGTTAAAGACATTTCTTAAACTTGATCAAAATCATATCAGTATGACAACTAAAGATACTTTTACGTAATGCAACCTCGAACATTTCATAAGAAAACAAATTCCTTTTTAAATAAAATTTGTGCAATTACGAGTCTAATATGACCATTTGTACAATATATATATATCATCTTAATAAGAAAACTTAAAAATGCTGATAAAAATATCTGAACTAGATCATATAAAAAGTAAAAAAAAGAAAAATAATGAAAAGAAAGATTAATATATTAAGGGGAAATTAATGTCAATCTTTACATCGACATGAAATTTCAAATGATTTAAAAATTAATTGAAATTACTAAGAACTTTTACTGATAAAAAAATAATAGAATAAGTGCACTATATCAGTACAGAAAAAATATAAAAGTTTAAAGCATTGATCAAAAGAAAATAAATATTTAAACTATAAATTTGAAAATGAATTTTAATTGAAATTTTATATATCCTTAATTGTTAGAACTATAGGCTTTTGTGTTGGCGAGTACTTCAAACTGAAACATATAGACATCTGTTTTGTTCATCCACGGCCGTTACTTTTTCCTTTTCGCGCGGAATATCGTTGAGTGAAATTAAACCATTAATCATTACTAAAGTAATCTTCTTAACATCGCGCGGCAAATAAACGCAAGCAGTAACAGTAACATTGGGCAACCCAAGCGGAATCTTAACATTAAAAATTAGTTTATTTAGGGCAAGATACATAAATGGTCCCTCAACTATAAGTTGCTACTTTTGTAAGTACATCAACTATTAAAATTTACAAAATAATCTCTAAACTATGAAAAGTTACAAAATGGTAACATATGTTTCAAATACGTCATTTTTTTGTTTAAAACTGACGATCTTCTGAGCTAAAAGTTAACTTAGTTGGTGTTTGTTTTCACTGTTTAAGGTCTTCAAAGCTCTTACGTTTGCGCCGCGCAGACCGTTTATCTTTTAGAAGACAAAAACTATTCTAATGTCTGCGCGGCGTAGACGTGACCTTATGTCTGCAGACGTCTTCTAACCTCTTCAAATAACCATTTTTGCTATTAATTTTATAAAAATTATAAAATGTCATTAAATTTAATGAATTATTACAAAATAGTCACTATAATGTTGTAATAAATTATAGAAGTTCGATAATATAATAATTATTTTATTGTATTTGGATAAATTTATTAATAATTTTATAATCTTTTAATAAATTTAATAAGTATTTTATAATTTTTTAAACTTTATTGACAAAAAATGATCATTTGTATATAACTCAACGATATTTAATATACTTTATTTGAAAAAATATATTAAACTTAGTAAAAAATATTATACAATTAAACTTAGTAAACTTTTTTTTATATAAAAACTTGGAAAATAACGGTGACATACAATTATTAACATTAAAAGATAAAATAAATGTTTTAATAGAAAAATATTCACACTATTGAAAAATATGATTCTTATCATTTAATTCTGGTAAAGTACGAAAGTCTCTTTATACATAATAAATAAATAAAAACAAATAATATATTTTTTCTAAATAGAAAAATACTAATTGATGTATATTATATGGAGTATATATTATATATATTTTTTGATGTTACTAGAATCGGATTGTACCACTCGAATAAATTAAGATGATTTAAATGATATTATAAAATCGAGTATTGATATATTTTTGAATCGATATTAATTGAGAATTAAAATATAATTTTTTTAACAATTACTTAAACCGAAACAAACATATTGAATTAAAATCAAATTGATTTCATTATCGATTGATTTAATAATAATTTTTAAAATGATATATAATATTAAAACCAAAATCTAATAGTCCGTAGATGTAATACTTTATAATAATAAAATTCCTATAATATTTATTTAATATATTTTTTTAAATAAAGTATATTAGATATCGTTGAGTTATATACAAATGATCATTTTCGTCAATAAAGTTTAAAAAATTATAAAATACTTATTAAATTTATTAAAAGATCAGTTTATTTATATTTCAATTTATTTTAGCAGTCTGCAGACGTTTAAAAACAAACAGTCTTCTTCTTGCAGACTGTAGACTTTTGGTCCACCTATTCTGCTGCATATGCCTGCAGATGTGGTCTGCAAACTGCAGACCTTTTACCTCTGCGAAAATAAACACTACCTTATTAATTGACATATGATAAAATATGACCCTAAAACCGTTTAAATTATATAATCGTTTGAGATTTTATGATCTAATTTTATTATGTCCAGTCAGCATGTTAATATCCAACTTGAACGATCGTATTTTTTAACCAAAAATTATGAGTTTACACCTTTATAAAATATATTAATACCTACGATTTTTATTTATGCACATATTAAAAAAGTTTTTTTTCTATTTAAAGAACTTTAAGAACATATATGGAAACATTTAAATATACAATAATATTATATTTTGTTATATTTAGCGAACTCAGTAATAGAAAGTAACGATATTCTTTTTAAAATACTTATAGATTTAATTAGGGATGGTCACGAGACAGGTTTAGGTTGGATTTCAATCAATTTGACTCGATTTGAGAATTATGAATCTTCCATCCAATCAAAAAGTATACACTCTCCACTCGACTCGATTTTTTAGATAAAATCCTAATCCAACCCGAAATAATATATTTATTAAAAACATTATTTTTATTCGATAAAAATAGAGATTTAAGTGGAAAAAAATATGCGATGGTATTATTGTAATTATCCCTAAATATATAAAGTAAAATTATATTTTTTTCCCGAGTCGGGTCGGGTCGAATATTGTTTACACTAAACCCGAACCGGACCCAACCTGAACATATTCTCTAAAAAACTCAACCCGACCTGACTCGAACCCAAAATTTACAATTCAAACAAAAAAATTTATATTATGGGAGATAGCCATAATTTTTGAGTTGGAAATAGCCATGTCAACTCTACCGGGCCAAGAAAATCTGAACGAGTTCACACAGCCAGTAAGTTCAATCACCGAAGAGTTTTCAATTGCCGATCAACAGTTCAACTCTATTACCGGTTCCCTGGCAAACGGTCAAGCTTCGGATTGTAATTGGATGTTTGATGTTTTAGTCACGCCGCCGGATGCCAATGATATGCCCCAGGACATGTTTTCCATGGCGTTGACTGATCCGAATTGGGAACCATATCCAACACTAGGAGATGGAGCCACTGAGTTCAATTCTCATGAAAACTCGCTATTAGGCATTGAAGATGGAGTGTGGTACTTTGAACCAGGCCCAAGCCACATGGATCATGCTGGTCAAGCTTTAAATGAGTCGGTGGGGAAAGCAGGGAAAACATTATCCAAAGGCTGGAATGGAAAGAAGCGCAAGTCTCGAGAACCCATAATCCTCACTCAAGGGAAACAAGCTGAAACTGAAAGAATGAAGAGAAGAGAGAAGCTGATAAAAAGTATCGGGCAGAGCTTAAGGTAAATTAAGATCTCTGTATTATGTACCTCCAATTTCTACACGAGTTACTTATTTGTTTTCTTCTGGCAAATAAAGATAGAGTTAAGTCAGCTGAGGAAGATGAAGCTGCAGTATGATAAACTGATGGTAATAGTGTCCAGATTTGGGGGAATTGTCCAAATGGAGTCATTTATTAACCACAGTATACGCATCAACTCTGAGTTACTTAGACTGCAGCCAAAGCAGGTAAACTAGGATTCCTCAAATTCAATATGCTGCAATTTTATCTGATTCTATCAAATAAACCATGGAATTATTCACTCGCCTCATGCTAGTTTAAATGATGTAAAGGACAAGGAATTGGAGGCCATGTCCCACAAGCACGGAGGAATGGAGAACATGGGTTCCATAGTGTTGGTTAAATTGAAGAATATGGTGGCAGAATCTCGAAAAGTAAATGAAATGAAATCAAAGTTGGGAATTCAGGAAACAGAATCCATAGTGGAGAAATACAAGGAAATGGAGGTCGAGTTACAGGGCCTCAAGCAAAAATTACATAATCAAAAGGAACTGGAATCCTTTCCCTTTCCGCTATCTCCTGGTAGTCGACAGGTATACTTCTCGTCCCCTACAAGCTATGCCCATCCGAGCGTTAGTGCCTTTTTAGGGAACATTCTGGGTGTACTAAAACAACGTTTTGTTACAGCAAAAGGATATGTATGAAGGACAAGTGGAAGATTTCAAACGATTCGAGGAATTGATGTCTAAGTTTGGTGGCATTGACAAAATGGAGTACATGTTGGATAAATTCCCTGAAATGGAGATCGAGCTAAGCAGCCGTAAGCAAAGAGAGGAGCAATTGCAATTGCAAAAGGAATCTCCTGGACCTGGTAGTCTCCAGGTATCCCCCCCTTCCCCCAATTGTCCCATTGCGTTACACTACTTGGCTTTTTCAGTGTCGTAGTAGATGGTTTGGATTTTCTGTTTTCACTAACATATATTATTTCTCAGATTGGGACAATGATTGAGTTGCAGTATTCTGATGTGGTTGTGGATCAACTAATCCAAAGCCTTGCAGATGACAATGTTCCAAGCAAATCGGACGACCTTGACAGTTTTGATAACTTGTTGGATGGAGACAGGGAAATCGTTGGCAAGTATAAAATCCCAACGCCTCTGGTCTCTACTGCTCAAAATATCTTCAACGTGTATGGTGATATTACCAGAAAAAGCAAATTCAGTGTCCACGCTGTTCAGAACATATTCGTTTTGTTTTGTGCTGCCATAAAGGAGATGAGTGATCGGTCGCTTGAACTAGTTACGGAAGAGATTATATGGAAGTTGAGAGACCCCATCATGGATGCAAAACGCAGTGAATTTGACGTCGAATTTGCCATGGAATATTTGAAAACAATCGCTCAAGGCTATTTCGGTCTCAAAGCACGCAGCGATTGCGATAACCTGAAGCAGGCGGTTGCATGTTTAAGGGCCGAAGAAGAAGCTTTGATACAGGAGCTTGAGAAGAAGTCACAAGAGATAAAGGAAAAGGAAACAAAACAGAGGTGTTTGGCGTCGGAGAAGTGTAGGATTTGCCGAGAATACGCTAATAAGATCATGTGTAAAACTATTAGCATTTTCTAAATAATTGTGTGGAGAGAACCCAAAATTTATCATCTTGTATCTATATCCTGAGTCTGTAAACGTGCTTGAAAAAATCCCCCATAAATTTTGAACAGTAGAATGCAAAAAAGGGGATAGAATAACTAATTAGGCAGATATTTGCATTCCAATTTAAGATCAATACAATAAATACCCATAGACAAAACAACCTTAAAAGCAAACAATTTACAGCGAAACCTAAGAACTAGTAAACTTGGTAACAGCCTTAGTGGCCTCAGACACAGCGTGCTTAGCCAACTCTCCGGGAAGAACCAACCTCACAGCCGTCTCAATATCCCGAGACGTAATCGTCGGTAGTGACATGTATATTAAAAAAAGTTTCTAGCTTGCTCTGATTCGAATCTGTTTAAGATATTTTTTTGTTTAAGTTACGAATGGTTAGTTTTAAAAAGGACATTATTAATTATGGATAATAATTTATTAAATCATAATTATTTATGATCGAAATGATTTTTAAATCAAGCAGTTTTCCAGCCGTTTTGATTTATGATATGTTATAGTACATAATTGCATAAATTCTATTTGAATTGGATTTAATTTTGACATTTAAATATTAAATTATGATCTTATGTAATTATTAGTTTTAAAATAAAGAAATACATTTTAATTTTAAAGAATTTTTTTATTGGTTTTTAAATAAAAAAGGTTTTATTGTCCTTAAATAGGAAAAAAAGCATATCATTAATCATATTTTTCTAAAAAAATAATTACTAAAATATAATTGGTCGGTCACTTATACTGTAGTTTACCCAAATATATATAACCACCATTTACCATATTGCTTCAAAACGACCGATTGCAAAACATAAAACGGTCGCTAAGAGTGACAATCAAATGCATAGCAGATAAGATTACAAAGGGAGGGACAGAACGAAGATAAAACAGACTGAGCTTTTTCCTGGGGAGTGGCAATGGCAACCGCTACAGTTACAGCAGCATCCACACTCTCATGGCTTCACAGCTTTGGAGGAGCCCAAAACGAGGCCACAAAAGCAGCAGACAGAAACAGGGTCTTCGTGGTTTTTGCCCAGAAGAAAGCTAAAAAAACTCGAAAGGTTAAGCAAATTGTTTCCTATCTAGTTGATTTTTTTTAGTAATTTGATTGAGTGGTTGTTGATAATGATGGGTTTCAGATAATGTTGAAGGAGGATGTAGAATACCTTGGGAAAAAAGGGCAGCTTTTGGACGTGAAATCTGGGTATTTCAGGAATTATCTTTTGCCTATGGGAAAAGCCCAGATTATCACTCCTGCTTTGCTTAAGTAATTTTTAACCCGAACCTCTGTTCTTTTGTATTTTTAATTTTATTTTAAATTTGTATTGCCTTTGCTTTTACAATAGTATTCACTATTCAATTAAGAAATTGAAGTATTAATGTACATTTGATTTGGGATAATTAATGGGTTTACCCCTCAGGGAAATGAAAGTGGAGGAGGAAAGAATTGAAGCAGAGAAGCAAAGGGTAAGTTCAGTGACACATGTTTTGAATTTTTTATGTTAACAATTTGTAAATATCATTGTGGTCATCTATTCCCCATTGGTCCACTGAAGATCTTAATGATTTGAGAATGAAAGAAAGCTTGCTTCGTCAAAATTGGGTCTTCCCTGATTGGAGTGAAACTTGTCAAAGCGTGCTCGTTTTTCTGAATGTGTTTGCTTCGATGGTATGGAGTAATATTGGACAGTGCTTCTTTATGGTGTTGAGGTGTTCATTGTTCAGTTTAATTGAAAACTAATTTTGTTTGCTCCAAGCCGGTATAAAATGAAAAAATTATGTTAATGTCATTTCCACCTGGTGTTTTATGGCTGTTTCCTAGCTTGTTGTTTGTGGCTTTACCAGGGTAATTATGTTATATTCATGCCCGTGGACTCTTGAATCTTGTTAGATGATCTTGGTTTTTACTCCAGGTAAAAGAAGAGGCACAACAACTTGCTGTAATATTCGAAACTATTGGAGCTTTTAAGGTGAAGCGAAAAGGTGGAAAAGGAAAGCAAATTTTTGGAAGGTGAGTAGGATCCGAATCCATACTAAGCAGTTCATATTTTAGGTTTTCACTTATTATATTTGACCCTAATATTCACTTGTTTTTGTCAGTGTTACTGCTCAAGATCTTGTAAACATTATCAAGGCACAGCTTCAAAGGTATCGATCTTAAAATCTGTGGGGTTTAGTTGTTAATAAGCATCATAACTCTGCAATTTGTTCACAAAATTAATTTGCATTAACTAAGAATTCAAGCTTTTTGCCTTAGCTTATGAATATGACCCACTACCGTTCTTGATTGCATCTGCAGTTACAGAGAACAATTGAAACTGACAGACCGATACATATATTTAGTTTGGTTCAGCCAATAGTTACAAAAACACGAATCATTTGCATTTTGTTAGTGAATTGTGATATTATAAAAGTTTCAGTGTCACACCTTTAGTAATGATATTAAGTTTGATTTCTACATGTATTTTAGCTGGATGAACTGCCTTCCAATTATGGTTTCCCATATCCACTTTTTTCAGATTGGGATATTTTATTTACCATCCTTAGTGGATTCAGTTTAGTTGTTCGAATATCCAATGGATATTCGAGATTTATAGATGTCCGATCCACCTTCATCCTTAGCTATGGTTGCTTAATTTTTCAACTACTCTTGTGTTGATCTGTAGGGATGTAGACAAGAGAATTGTTTCTCTTCCAGAGATAAGGGAAACAGGAGAATATATTGCAGAGCTGAAGCTCCACCCTGAAGTTACTGCTCGAGTCAGAGTTAATGTTTTTGCTAACTGAAGACAAGTTCCTCTCTGGAAATGGGGAAGCCAGGGTATGCAAGCATCTGAAACTGATAATAACATTGACTGTAAAAGTAGGAGTCCCTTTTTCTTGCATCTCGTCAGTGAAAACCGTTCCTCATGTTGGTTTTGGTTTCTTACGAAATTTTGCTGTCAGTAGTTGCCAGTTGTTACCTTTATCAGACGAGGAATTTAGACTGAGACGTCAAGGAATATGAACTTTTTCTAATCAAAAGTTGACAGCTACGTTACTCCGATTCTTTCGAAGATTCTACGAATACATGAAAAAGAAAATAAAACTCGAAAAGAATTAAACATACCTGTGTCGAGTGTATATCTGTAAAGTAGTGGAACATAGAAAGAGAAGGCACCTCCTCTCGACACCTTGTTAATTATACTTTAAACGGTTGAGCAATCATATGATAATGTATTTCCAGTTCTTGAATTTTTGTGATTGCAGGAGGTACAAGATCCGGGGCAACTTCAAAAGGGTGTTTGTAGAACATTTTATTTGTATTTCCAGTTCATTATTCTCTTTTAGAATGTATTGAGACATTGAAAAGTGTTCTTATAGATTGTTTAAATTTTATCTGAAACAGCTATTCTCCATCGCTCTATTTAGGTGGGTGGGGGGGTATTTGTACGGATTTTTTTATCTGGTTCATTTTACGATCCTGATTTGAACTGCATAGGAAAATATCCAGTGGAAAAATAATAAAAAGATGTTGCTGCCCAGGATCGAACTGGGGACCTTTAGTGTGTAAGACTAACGTGATAACCACTACACCACAGCAACTACTTGTCTTCTAAACAATGTTGTTTATTAATAATTATATAGCTCGGAGAGAAGTTAATTTGGGGGGGGGGGTTGACCAGACGAATCACAAAATTTAAGTTTCTCATGCAATGTGTAGAGATTCTAGAGAATTCTTGTTTAATAAAGTAAAATTTAAATTACAGATAATTTAATTACATGCATGTCAAACTTACAAGGAGATGATATTGATACAAAATTACTTAAGGGTAAACTACACGGGAGGCCACCAAACTATGGCCATTAATCAATCTTGCCACCGAACTATTTTTTATCTCAATTCAACCATCAAACTTTTTAATTGATTCAATCAGACCACTATCCGTTAAAAAAATAATGTGGCTACTCAATAAGCGTATTGTTTCCAGGTTGGACATGCACCACGCCACGTCATGGACATGCACCACGCCACGTCAATTAAAATATAAGAAAAATAAATAAATGGCACTCAAAGAGTGAAGGAAGAAGAAGAGATAATTTCAAGCACGTATCTCCATATTCTCCACAACCTTTTCTCCTTATATTTCAAGCTCCAATCGGCGTTTCAACCTCACAACACAAATCCAACATTTTTCAGATGGGGAAACATGCAACATATTCGATATGATTAGTTTATTTTGGCTTCAATGATTGAGTTTGCCTTCAATCTGGGTATATAAACTTCTTAAAAAGAAAAGCAAGAGAGAGAAGAAGAATGTGAATGACGGTAGTAACAATGGCAACAATAATAACTGGTTGGGTTTCTCTCTTTCACCCCACATGAAAATGGAGGTACCTACTGATCCCCAACACCGTCATCATCACTACCATCAGTATAGTCAAGCTTCACCAGCTACTGCTAATGTTGTTCCTACAAGCTTCTACTTGCCTTCTTACTTAAACGGGTCTGGAATCTGCTATGGAGTTGGAGAAACTGAAAGCTTTCACGCTCCATTGTTTGTTATGCCTCTTAAATCAGATGACTCTCTATGTTTTCATTTTTCACATGCTTCTCTTATTTGCTTTTTCCTTATGTTAAACTTATACTCTCATATTTTTTTCTGTTGAAGGGATTGTGCCCACTTCTTCCCCAAAACTGGAGGACTTTTTGGGTAGTGCAACAATGGATGCACATCAATATGGAAACCAAGAAAGGGAGATAATGGCTCTAAGTTTAGACAGCAACGTGTACTACCACCGAAAGGGAGATGACGAAGGAATCGGAAGAGGAAAACACGGTGAAGAGAGGGCGAGAGAGCCTAATTACGCCATAGGGAAATTTGAAGTGAGCGGTGGGCCTGGACAACAAATCAGAGGTGCTTCAATGGAGTCTCAGGGCTTCAAACACGAGAAGATCGGTGGAAATAAACAAGAGAGATGTGCTTCAATGGAGTTCAATGCCAAACGTGAGCAGAGTGCAGGTGCTTTAATGGAGTCTATGGGCAAACACAAGAGCGATAAAGAGACAAGGCATAGCATGGAAACGACCGACGAACTGAGGAACATCGATAAAGAAGAGGGTGGCGAGAAACGATAGCAACTATCTCTAGAAGAGATATCTAAGCTAAGAGAAACAACTCAACAGAATTCAATGGAGACTTTACGCGCTGCCGAAGAACGGTATAACAAGGCCAAGGAATCGGTCGCCCAAGCGCTTAACACCGCAGCCGAATACACCAAAGATAAGGGTCAACAATCAAGGGAAACAGCTCGTCAAAGCGCTCAGTATGCGGCGGAGAAGGGTGGACAAGCGAGGGATACTGTTCATCGAGTTGCTCAGCATGTAGCGTAGATGGGTGGACAAACGAAGATTGCGGCACATTATGCCACCGAGAAAGCGGTGGAAGGAACAAAGGTGGTGGCGAGGATGGTGGAAGGAACCTAATCGGTTTTGTGTGAAAAAAACCCTATGTCTTCTCAGCTGGCATTAATAATAATATAAAAACATCGTCGTTAGTTTATAACAGCCACGTCGGACATGCCGTTATTTTTTTAATGGAGAGTGGTCTGATTGAATCAATTAAAATGTTTGGTGGTTTAATTGAGATAAAAAATAGTTCGATGACAAGATTAATTAATGACCATAGTTTAGTGATTTTCCGTGTAATTTACCCATTACTTAATAATGAAATACAAATGAAACCCTCGATTGTAAAAGAAAAAAAAAATTAACACTTGACCCAAAAGGACAAGAGAGCAGACCATAGTAACTGTATAATATTATTGCTTATGTAGTTGTCAGAGGTAGCAAAAGCCTTGAAACTTTGGTCACTTTCATGACTTGACCCACAAGGACAAGAGAGAAGCACAAAAGCTGAAAGCCAAGAGATTTGGATAGCCATCCAGCTGTGAAGTCGAACGCCACACTAGTTTAAGATATACATAGGCACCACATGTCACTCTGTTGGACGATACCCTTTAAAGAAATACCCTTTTATGTAATGCATACAGACTATTGACATCGGCCATGCGGTCTGTTCGCATGAGATTTAGAACCCTTTTTTAGTAGTTTAGGTTTCAAATTTCGAGTGGTCTTTAAAAATGACACGTGCACAATTATACTTGGCTGAAATGTTTTGGATGATAAATAAGTATAAATGATAAACCTATAGGAAAAGCATTATTGATGTAATCGTCTACACAAAATAAAGCTAATTAGGACATGGTCTCACGCAACGTGTCCACACGATTTGCTTACAAGCACTCACCCAAACTTACAGTTAACAAACTCCATTTATGCATAACAGTGAAGTGGGTAAATTATCAACTCACCCCTCTCATTTCTTTATTTCGTCATAAGGCCATGCCTTTTCAATTTCATATCATAAAATTGACTATGGGTGATAATGTCATTTAAGTGACGTGCAAACTAAGGGATATCTTAGTTAATTAGGTGAAAGGTACTTTACTCTAATTATGATTATTACTGTTAATTAATGAATATGTTACGTATTTCAACAGTAATGATAAACGGGGTGAAGGAGGAAGAGATGTGGTGGGAGCTTAAAGCAGGGTGGACCATTAAAAAATTAGAAAACAATGGAGTGATCTATAAGTTGGGCAGTTAACAACTCAGCTTTGCTATCCATTTATTCCTTGCCATTTAATGAAACAGACTGTGGCATGTACTCTGAGAGAGAGAGTGTGTGTGAAGGAATATATATATATATATATATATATATGAGAGTATTTTTAGCTTTATTAATGAAAATCCAAAAGGGAAAAAAAAGGAGACTCACAAAGTAAAGATAACCTAATCCACGAGTTTAGTTTGTGGTGGTGGCAAACCCTAGATAGCCATTCCCCCATAATTCTTGTGTGTATTTATTCTCTTTTTTAGTGTGATACATCACTCTCTCTTTCACTTTAAAAAATGAAATAATCCGAATATTAATTTATCTTTTATTTTCAGATAAAATTTTAAAGGAAGAAAGGCCCATAAAATAAAATATGGTTCCATCACTCACTTTTCGTGAATGGAGGGCAACCTTGAATACTAACCACTTACTAGCTCAAAGTATTCAGAGTAGATCATCAAAAAGTAAAAACCAAAGAATACAATTGAAAATTGTAAATAATATTGTATTGGAATGATTTAATTATATATGATTCACATTGATTCATTGTTTTTTTTTTTTGTAATTTAGTAATGGCAATCTACCAAAGCTGGTGTGGAGAAAACAATAGCTTGTTGGGCTGCTCCAAATTGGAACTTGGAATCACGTGGATCATCTTCTGGTGCAGGAAGATTAAGATCCAGTGGTAGAATATTTCTAGGCTTGATTCCATCGCCATTTCTGGACTCCATTGGACTGCTAGTAGTTTCAACACTCACGGCAGCTTGGTTGCTTGCCGCCGCCGCCCTGTGCCGTCTCATGTGGCCTCCGAGGGCTTGACCGGACGAGAATTCGGAGCCACAGATTGAACACTCGTGAATCTTATAACCCTTGTTCCCATGGCAATTACCCTTGCTGTTGTTGTTACCTACTTGTAAAGCAACAACAGCTTGATTTTCTCCGTTGAATTGATCAGCGTCTTGGATAACATGATCTTTGACTGCCGGAACAGGCGGTTTTTTGTCATCCGCCATGGCTCCCTTGGGCTTCTTGTGGCTTGCCCTATGCCCTCCTAGTGCTTGGAACGATGGGAATGATCGGTTACAAGTTTTACACTCGTACGCATAAGCTACACCCTTGTTCGAAGTCGCGGTAACCATCTGGAATCTCTCTCCAATATTGCTCCGCCTCGGTCCATCACTTTGTGCTAACATGATCAAGCAATTAGCCATGTCTTCCTCCTCCTCTGTTCTCTCACCGGAAGTAACCGGTGATGATATTGAATTGTACTCCTCCGCCGGTCCACCGCCGCAAGCACTCGACGAGCTAGAAGTCACGGTGACAGTGACACCGAACGAGGACAATGATCTTTGACGCTTCGTACGCTTGCCTTTGATGATCAAGGCTTGATGATCAAATTCCTCTTGAGCTTCCATATCCACCCTACCCTCAAAAAACAAAGAAAAATTGTGGTGAAGGCAATCAAAATGAGCCAGGTGACCTAACAAAGTAACAGAGTAGGAGCTACGGGAAACAAATGAATGAAGCAAAGATGGAGAGAGTAGTGAGATTTTTATATATAGCGATAAGGGTTGTTGGTAAATTTTGGTTTATATATTGAAAATCTTTGTAGTATTAAGAACGCCGCCCCCGTGAATAGTTACCATCGCCATTTGTTTAGCTTTCAAACTTCCGAATGTGTTATTACTAGTAGGAAGAAGAAGTTTATTTTCACTTTTTTTAATTTTCTAAAAGTCCTCATCACTAATAGACCAATCATACCAAATTGAGTAATTTCACCACTAATTCTTCTTTTATTCCTTGATTTAATGATTATTTTATCAATTATAAAAAAAATTATTTGAAGTTGTTACGGAATCTGATATTAAAAACAGTAAAAATCATTATATAACCCACAAATTATATATAAAAAAATAAAAATGATTTTGATATATGATTTGACCATTAAATTTTAAAATTATAAAAAGTATATTCAAGGGTCAAACTACATCTCAAAGTAAAGTTAAGTGTCAAATTGTATCTAGAACAGCCAATAGTCAAATTGCACTTCAATGCCAAAATCAAGATCAATTTGTGGTTTAGAATCAAAGTCAGATGTCAAATTGAAGTAAATAATAAGGATTAAATCACATATCAAAATTAAGATTATCTTAAGCTTGGGAGGAGTTTAGAAATAGGGGGCCAGTGCTGAAAAAAGGGCGTGAGTTAGGAATTCAGGTGATGTTAACTTTCTGGCACACAGTTTGGCAGCCATGTTACATATCCCAAATTAATTTAAATAAATAAATAAAAACCATTATAAGCGAAGACAGTGGGGGTGTTTGACGCCGAGTGTTTGGTAAACACTTTTTTTTTTTAAAAAAATTAGTTTATTTGAGTATAAATAATTTACTAATAGTCAAACACTCTGTTTTTAGTGTTTGATAAACACATTTTTTAAAAAACTTATTGTATCAAGTAAGCTGAAAAATGAAAACGTCCAAAAAATTCATCGGTTTAGGAGAGCTTATTGCAAAATAAGGTATTAAATGATATATTTGACCTTATAATTTATATAATTACATTTCTGCCATAAAAACTAATATAATGAAATAGCCTCCATCCTAATATATTTTAAAGAAATTTTATTTTATTATTCTATTTTTAAGTTGTAGATTCTTGAATATATTTTAGTTAAGAAAATATAACAAAACATTAAAGTAGAAAAAAATGTAGTGTTGATATTTTATATAAGATTAATAGTATGTCTCAATCTCACAAGGTTAATATTTGTAAATATTAAATTTAAAAATATATTCAAATTTTCAAAAATATTCACTAATTTTCAATTAAAATACTTTCGCCCCCATTACATCCACAAGCTATATACAATTAAAATACCAGCTTTACTCCTAATGGGGTTTGCTTACATTTAAAGTTATAGATTTAAGATACCACGATCTATTAATAGAGAGTGATAATCTTTTAATTAATTTGGGTTTAATGTTCAATTTGCACTCAAATAAGTCGGTGATATTTAATTTACATCTAAATTAAAAATCAAACAATTTTAAAAAATAAATACATCTTTATTTAAATAAGATTAATCTATTCATATAGATATCTTTATTCAAGTAATTGAATTAAAATTTTAATCCCAAATGAATGTAAGTTAGGTGTAAAACCAAATGGAAATCCTAACATTGATGTGATTAAGTAACGACGTTAGGAGAACAACATGTGTGAAGTGCAAAATTAGTAAAATCACGTGTCATATGTTTGAGGAATGCCTAATTCTAATGGCTCTCGCACCACGTTAGTAATTTGCTCTCATTTTGTCTTCAATTTTATTTTTGTATCCCCTTCCCTAATCTGAGCGCCACTCATTCGGATCTAAATTTTATTGTACAGTGTTTCACTTTTAGTATTATATCCACATTTCTTATATCATTCTTTTTAAGTTGGTTGCTTTGTTCATTATCTCTCAACCCTTATTCTATTCATTCACATTAGAGGAAGCATTACACATCTAAATCGATAGGATTTATGAATCTTTTAACTTTTTATTAAAAAAAATAAAAAAATAATCAGCGGACGGCAACTAGTATTAAAACCGGTGTTACCATCGGTTAAACAAAATTAAAGAAGAAAAAGTTGGTGTATTGATCAATAAAAGTGACATACATACATTGTAAATAAAAAAAAAGAGAGTTTTATATATATATATATATATATATATATATATTAACGTAACATAATTACGACATGTATTTTATTTTATTCTTAAAAATATAGTTTCTCTTGTAGAAGAAAAGAAAGGTTCAGTGTATATGATGTAGCAAAAGCGGGCTGATTTCTGATGTTGTGTAACGCAAGCCACGCAAAGTAAGGTAGGCATGGCACAGGCACAGCCGCAATTCTTTGATTATCCTTTCCAAACCTTGATTTATTATTCGTTTTTTGTGTGCGGAGAGATTTATTATTAATTTAGTAATCAATCTATATTACTTCATAAATATATCTTTGTTAATTTTTAATATAAATGTGTTAATTATTTTTAAATACTTCATAATATGAAGTTAATGATTTTAATAGTTACCAAATAGGAATTGTAACAAAACAAAAACCCTTCTACTTAATGTTGTGTTAAAGAGAGAAACCTCATTTTTTGTTTAGCACTCAAAGCACTAATCCGGCTCGTGGTAGCTTATAGGAAATAAAAGGAAGCCTGGTCTAAACCGGTTGTTAAGATCTCAGTTTAAACTCGACTCTAAAGCATTCTCAGATTGATTTGTTGCCTGAGTTTTAGTTTACGTGTTATTACTTTTATATATGATGAAGTCAGATCCAATTAAGGCGTGGAATATGAGTAAGGATTTGGCTCGACTTTGGACCCAAAGTTCTTAAATGGTATATGATAGTATTACTACGTATATATACCTCTATCTGAAGAAACCCAAACCGTATGCAGAAGGCGGTGGAGTCGATGCCTTCTCTTTTTCTATATTTAGAAACAACCCCAATTGCATGCAGTGTTCATGTTCAATAAATTTAAGAGTTTAAATGTCAAAATCTGTAATGTTGTTCTCCTCGAGGCTAAAAACAAAATAAATTGAGATATTTGGTAGCTCAGTGGTAATTTGAGGGATGACTTGTAGTAGCAGATATGATGCTTTTGAGGGCAAGACATGACCAATGGGTGAAGCCGGAAGAAAATAATAAGGGCAGCGGTAGCTATCAAAATCAAAGTCCTTTACATTCAAAACAATGACTTCATGCCAGCTCAATCCCTTAGATTAGGCTTCACGCCGCTGCTACTGCTGCTACTACTACTACAACAACTCTTTTACACTTTCCTTGCCTGCGTCTCACAATTGCCTCGTGATTTGTGGCTAACTCAAAAATGTTTGTTCGGTTCTAAAGGACGAAAGATATGACAGGCAAAGCCATACACATAGCATCGTACATGTACATTGACAATCTAGAAAATGGGAAAAGAAATATGCAATTAGCATTTTCCATGCTTGTTCGGTGCATGTTCTTGCGAGTATTGCTTAGATGGCCTATCTACAAAATTGCATTGGACTTAGCGAGGATGGCTCAATGCATGTACCGATTTGGTGACTGCCATGGAGTTGCTGATCAGGAGACCAAACATCATCTTGTCGACTAAGGGTGTTTCATAGCTCTATAGAATCTGTTGTGCATGTCTTTATGTTTTTTCTTTCATAGGAGTTGAGCGGTGACCACAGTCCTAATGTTGTTTTATTGTAAATTATCAATAAAATCAAATATTGCTGAGCAAAAAAAAAGAAAAGTGGCCTACCTACCGGTATTCTTTGTTCCTTAATTTAAACCAAATGATTCAGAGCATCCGGTTTTCATGAAGTATCAATAAAGTGCTTGAAGTTAGAAGCAAATACGAAGTTTTCGAATCAAAACCAAAATGTGTCCATGACTAATTGCAACATCTATGATGCCACGTTTGAACTTAAAACAAAAGAAATTTATTTGTACGACCAAAATCCACCTTCCTAATCATAACTAGCCGCTATAAGTCTCCCTTATCCGACTAAATTAAAGTAAGAATCAACAACATACGGGGGAAGTTTCCTCACAATGCAAAGGTGGGAATTGTAAGCCAAATAAATAATTACCCTTTTCAAGGTCATCTCCAAGCTCATGAACGACAAAAGCTCTTCTGTTAGGAAATAAACCGAGTAACAAGTAATTTTCTTATAACCAGATTAGTGAGAATGCGAAATAAAAGCGGAAAAATAATACCCGAAATTTGATAACGGAGTTCAGCCAATTTGTGCTTACGTCTCCGGACTGCTGCAGATCTTTTACTAAGAGAAAATTTACAGGTGTTTACACAACACACTTGAGAGAGAACTAGAAGATTTTGGGATGATTTTGAAGCTAAATGAGCTAGGGTATTTATAGTTGAAACTTAGGGAATAATCTTTGAAAATACCCTAAAGTTCAATGACTCAATTTTGTAATTATACCTATTACAAATAATAAAAAATTTATTAGCAGCCCCCCCTTAGCAGCCGGCTACCTTGACCAACAATCTCCCACTTGAAGACTTATTTCAATCTGTCTTCACACCTCGATCGATGCATCAGTATTTCTGGTCTTTTATTCTAGCATGCCAACTGAAGCTGAACACAACTCAGTTTGTCCGTAGTTACCGTCTTTGTTAACATGTCTGCTGGATTTTGAGCTCCACTGATCTTTTCAAGTTTCAAAATCCCATCTTCCAGAAGAGACCGGATAAAATGATATCGCAATTGTATGTGCTTCGTCCTGGAATGAAAAGACGGATTCTTCGCTAGATGGATAGCACTTTGACTGTCGCAATACAAGACATTGTTTTCTTGTTTCTTACCTAACTCATCCAAGAAACTTTGGAGCCAAACCATCTCCTTGCTAGCTTCCGTAACAGCGACATATTCTGCTTCAGTTGTGGAGAGAGCAACTATCTTTTGTAGTTGAGAAACCCAACTCACTGCGGTTCCTCCTAGAGTATAGACATACCCTGTAGTGCTTCTTCTGATGTCGACATTTCCTGCTAAGTCAGC